CGTTTAGATTCATCCTTTTCGATTTTGATAATTTCAACTAAAATATGAGATAATGAAAAATAAATCAACAAGCTTGGGAAAAAAAGTTTGAAAAAGTGCGAGTCGCTCAGCTGCTTTCAGGCTATCTGCATTCCAACATTTTCGTTCTTCCGTTTCGCAAGAGCTTAATCCAACATTCTTGTACATCTCAACTAATCCTTTGAAAATGCATTTACGATCTTTTGCTTTTTGTTTCCGGTATTTTGACACTACAAAAAAAAAATATTTAGAACTTTATTAATTAACAAGATCGCTTATTCTAACTGACAAATATGTCAAGAAACCTCTGATCTTAAGGTTTCATTTACTTTTTTTAGGTCAGCTTATAATGAGAGATTAATTGGGATGATCGAAAGTAGACATTTTAGACTAACTATTCAAATATCGTTTCGTAACAATTGAATATAAAAATCTCATGAAACCTTTAAGAAAAAGAGACATAAAAAAAAATATGATAAAGCCAATCAAATTTCATAGATCGTTCTAGAACTCAAGTTCCAAATTTGGTAATATCCCTGACTGAAATTACAGTTGCCAAGCCAACTATTCAACATAAATCATCATTTTCATTTTGTTGATCCTTAAGCCACTTTCCAAGTTTGTCCTTTAATACAAAATTTGCCCTCTCTACAGAATCTTGGGTTTGCGGCCTTCTCGGCTTTCCATGGATTATTTTAAGATTTGGCCAGAGTTTTGAGAAATTGTTAATAATATCTGCAGTAAACTCAAGCCTATTATCACTTTGAAGAAAGATCGGCGATCCAAATATAGTAAAGATGTCAAACAAGAACACAGCCACCTTTGCTGCACATTTATTAGTAAGAATGTGGCCCCAGAAAAAATGTGAGAAATAATCTCTGGCATATGCTATTTATTTAAATTCACCATCTCTTCTAGTTCGTATATCTATAAGATCAATTTAGTAAAAAAAAAAAAAAAAGTTATTTATTAATTTTTTTTTAATTAAAAAAAAAAAATTCTTTTTTTTTAAAAAAAACAACTTTTTTTTTAAAAAAAAATCATCTCATACCTGAAGCCGTTGCATAAAAAACTTGCTAATAATAGGTCTTATAGCTAAAGATTTGCTAGATAATCTGCATGTTTTACATGTTTTGTACATTTCAACAAATTTATCAATCAAGCATCTTTTTATACCATGATATTTATCTAATACTTGTTTATAAATAGCTCTTGCGCCCCCATGTCTAACAGCCAGATGCTCCTCTGCGATAATATAGTATAATCTCTCTTTTAAAGCTACAGGTTTCCAATTATTTGATGATTTCTCTTTATGTATTAATGTTATAATTCTACCGATCCTTTGAGATGAATAGTTATTGTTAATATGGTGACGTATATTAGGATTTGAAATAGAAGTATTTTTAGGGTCATTTAAAATCTGCAAATATTTATTAGCAATATCCTCTGTAATTAATGCTT